CATAGTTTAGACGAACTTAAACTCCCTGTTAGCAAATAATCTTAGTTAACTTAACGACGAATCGTTTAAGCTAACAACGCTCTGCTTAAATCAAACGAAAAAACCAAATCAAAATTTTCAAACTTACCATTACATCATCTAATTTTACTTCTCGATAAGATTTATTTTATTTTACATTACTTTAATTATAAATAATTAAACAATAAGCGAATCTATTGACTTTACCTCTGAAAGTTCTATTACTCTAAAATGCAAAGCTTTACGTAGTGAACTGTTTTACAAATGAAGTATTTTAAGAATATGATTTTCTATTGATACTAAATTAGAATCATTTGATCACCAGGTCGTGTAATCTGTAATCTTACCCAGTATTGCCCCAAGATTTTCCACCCCACGTGATATTCACTATTTGTCACAGAGTCACTCCCTGATTTTACTTCACTTTAAATGTCACTGGTCACGTGGGTGAAGTATTACTTATAAACTTTGGGGTGATACTGTGTTAAATTGTCGTGTAAAGTATGGCCCTGACCCGTTCAGAACACTACATAAACATGAGATGATGACGAATTTATTTTCTAAACTATGTAAATATACAACATATCATATTTTTTTTTATCAAATCAATTAAATTGTTTTCGACACGCATGTAAATCTAACTAATTAACTGGTTAAATTTAATGCCGGCCAGCATTATATACAGTATATATTTCTTAAAAATATTAATTATTCGAAGCTGATAGATGGAGTGACAAAATTATTTAAAAAAAGGATTTAAAACGTTATTAGTATCACGATTTCTCCTAATTAAAGTTCGACCATTACATATTGTATATTTATTACTTTATTAATAAATTTCTTTCCATTCGGCTTTAATATTCTAACTGTATAATCATAAAGGAGTCTGCACGTTTTTACTAAAAAAAAAATTATTTTTTTTATATAATTTTGTTTTGTTAAGAATTATTTTTAAATACAAATAATTTTTAATAAGTTTTCCAAAAAAAAAGGAAACGAAAGGCTGGACCACCGCGAAATTTTAGACTAGAACAGTATCATTATTTACCCTATTCTGATACTTTATAATAACTTTATATTCAAAGAAAGATAAATAACAATTATGTTAATGAAAATTGATAAGAGGCAGTATTAATTTCTAATAGTGCCTTAAACTACCCCAACTCAATTATGTAATTATTCCTTGTTAACAATTTTTTCTTGGATTCTATTAAAAATAACACGAGCAGCATCCTCCCATGTAAGGTCCAACATAATATTGTGAGCAGCACCTTCAATAATATCAAATCCTATACCATAAGCTTCAGCAGTTTCTTTTATAACTTTAAAATCAAATATTATATCTTCTTCTGCACCAATAACAATTATAGGACATTTAATTTTCGTTGAGTCAACAAAAAGTTTATAAATTTCGAAGTATACATTGATAAAACTAACTTTATCGAGTTTTGGATGAATATATTTAGCCATAGAATCAGGAAATGCTTTGAAAATGAAGCTTTTTTCAATAATTCAGGAGTTCCAATTAATGCATATGGTTTTAATGTAATTAGAGCTTTAA